AAGTGTTTAATAACGTAGGTATATGTGTGTGTACTAAGTGTTTAATATCATATATATATATATATACTAAGTGTGGAATAGTAACGTAGGTATATGTGTATGTACTAAGTGTGTAATAGTATCGTAGGTATATGTGTGTGTACTAAGTGTTTAATAACGTATATATATATATATACTAAGTGTGGAATAGTATCGTAGGTATATGTGTATGTACTAAGTGTGTAATAGTATCGTAGGTATATGTGTGTGTACTAAATGTTAAATAACGTATATATAATGTGTACTAAGTGTCGAATAGTAACGTAGGTATATGTGTATGTACTAAGTGTGTAATAGTATCGTAGGTAAATGCGTGTAAAAATAACGTAGGTATATATGTGTGTACTATTTGCAATAGCCAACTCTGTGTCCTCTAATTCTCGGGTGAGCTCACTATACACATTTCTCTCCAACGTATCTCCAAATGTCGTCATTTAACACAGGAGTTGGCTGAGCGTGATGCAGAAGGTATGACATTACTACACCGTCTGTGTGCCGCGAGTAGCTTCACACACTCTCCTGGCTTCGCCACTACCATTGCACAGGTATGTGAAGAATACACCAATATACATATATATATATATATATATATATATATGTGGGTGGGTGGGTGGGTGGATGGATGTACATATATATATATATGTGTGTTTGTGTATTTATATATATATATATAATCTTTGCATTTGCTTATGTACATAGTATGTGTACTGTACTGGTGCATTGATGCTGCTTGTGCGGTCTGTGGGTTGGGCGTGTGTAGTCGTGTGCATAGGTATGTATTTTCCGGTGTAGTATTTCGTATCTGTAAGTAGATGTGCCACTACCATCACAACAATAGATACCATATGACACGAGTTGCCAGATATTGTCCTACTCCTGAGATACATCCTGGTGTATCGAATATTACACGCCCCATGTGATGGGCTCGATGAGCCTCACCTGTGCGGTCACAACCCTAAACCCTACACCTTACACCCTGTTTCACACAGCCCCTAGAATGTCCGATTGTCCCATTATCGTATTGTCGTATGACTCATACGACCCATTTCACTCTCACAGGCGTTGTTGGCCAAAGGCACGATCGACGCCTCCGCTACGGACCACCGCCGCCGCACCGCGCTCCACGTGGCTGCCTTATATGGGCACGTAGATCTCGTTATCCTATTGGTCGAGAAGTACAAGGTCAATGCGGATGCGACAGACACGACTGGGGGCACTGCGCTGTCACAGATGTTGACAGGCAACAACCCGTCAGTGCACATAGCCGCGTGTTTGCTGACACACTCTGCCCAGGGGGCGTCCATGGTGAGGTATGGGTTGGTATCAACAGTACTATTACTATTGTGAGGTATGGGTTGGTATCAATAGTACTATTACTATTACGAGGTATGGTTTGGGGGGCGGGGGGTGTTCGAGGGGTAGATATTAATAAGATGCGTGAGTGGCAAGCATTTTTGAGAGACGTGTGTGTATGTACTTGTGTGTAGGGTAGAGTAGTACATATTTCGTTGCACCATGTTGGGTGTGTTGGGTGTAGTAGGATGTGCCGCCCTTCTCAGAAGGCTTTAGAGAACACGTCCACGAAGACGAGTACAATAGGCCCATTGCAGGCGAATCTTTCAAGCAAGGCTAAACCATCCATACACACCTGATGTACTAACTCACCCCACACACGTGTTTGCCGTCCCATCTGATAGGCGTATTCTTCAAGCAAGGCTGAACCAACCATGCACACCTGATGTACTAACTCACCCCACACACGTCTCTGCCGTCCCATCTGATAGACGTATTCTTCAAGCAAGGCTAAACCATCCATGCACTCCTGATGTACTAACTCACCCCACACACGTCTCTGCCGTCCCATCTGCCCCCATCCACAGCACTCCATTAGTCAATGCTGCGCGTGTGCACGAAGAACAGTTGAGTGTACACGAGCGCTTTACCGAAGGCTATCAATTCACCACTCGATGTGCACAGACCACACACGAACGCACTGATGTGGTGCAACGCCTGACGCAGGAGAAGGCCACCACAGCCAATGCAGGTGACACGCCCCCTGGAGATGCGGGTATGGAACAGATGAGCATGCATGGCGATGGGTGGTGTTTGGGCTGTTATGTGGGGTGTGTTGTGTGTATGTTGTGTGTTGTGAAGTGTGTGTTTCGTGTATTATGGGACAGATGAGCATGCATGGCAATGGTGGGTGTATGGGCTGTTGTGTGTTGTGTGGAGTGTGTATATTGGGTGGTGTGGGGTGTTTGTTGTGTGTTGTGTGTCTGTTCTTTGGGGTGTGTTGTGTGTATGTTGTGTGTGGCGTGTGGTGTGTGTTGTGTGTGGTGTGTGATATGTATGGGTTGGTAGGTTAGTGATGCCTGAGAGTGCTAGTCCGCTGTAGGCTGATGGCACTCGAACACAGTGCTGTGGCGCAGTGACTAATGGACGAAAGGGTTTCCATCCAGACCGTGTCAGTATCACGCGGCGACGGGTGCTGGTGACATACACCAAAGAAGAAATTCACGTGTGTAGGTATACAAACCCTAAACCCTAAAACCTAGAACGCTAAGCCCATCTCTCTCTCTCTCTCTTTCTCTCGCAGACCCCACAGACACCCCCACGGCTGAGTCCACGTGTTTGATTGAGGCTGTGCGGTTGGGTGATGTGGGTCTGGTGAATGTGGTCATGGCCCATGCACAGCCCACCCACTGCGCACTGACTGACTCGCAGGGCTATACGGCGCTGCACCACGCGGTCCTGTCCCGAAATGTGCAGGTGCTGGACACCCTGTTGCAGTGGAATAGGTATGAAGGGCTGGAGTGAACACTTGGGACTGGCAGAGAAAGGGACAATTATGTGGGTGTGTATATTAATAAGAGTTAGGTGTACTTATCTGGGTGTGTATATTAAGGAGAAATAGGTGTATCCATGTGGGCGAGTATGATAAGAAGTGATAAGTGTATATACGTGGGTTTTTATTGTATGGTTAGGAGTGATTTTATTTGGAATACTATTTTTAGTTAACATTCGTCCTCTATTCAATTCTTGAGGCCAAGTTAGACTGTTTCTGCCTGGGGTATGGTTGAGTTGCTTGTCGCGTAGTCACACATACAAATATGTCAGTCTTACAGCCCTCTAGTCCCATAATATCAACTAGGTCGTACCATGAAACGGACCGTGTTTGCCCTCCACTTGTATGTCTGACCAGCCAAGCCACAACAGGTCTAAACACAGCTTCCTTGTATGTGTATTATTACGTTTACTATACGCTGTATTGCACCGATAAAATATAACCCAACCAACTCAAAGCGTAAACGTAATCCGTCTGGACACAGCCTGGTTGTCCCCTTCACTCTACGCCAAATAGCACCGACTGTCTATAAACTATCAAACTCAACTCGCAACTCTCTGTGTACTGTCAACTGCAGATTCGATATCGACGCACAAGACAGTCACGGGCGGACGGCCCTTCTGCACTCCGTTGCCATTGGTTCTATAAATAGCGACTGGACTATGAGCCAATGCCTGCTGGCCTATGGCGCCAACCCAATGATCACCCACACACCCAATCAAAACGCAGCAAAGGACGACCAAAGCCTGTCTCCCATTGGCTACGCGGTGCGTGCCAACAAAGTGCGTATAGTGCAGGCGATGCTCAGCGCCAAGACTCATCGGATGGCAAAAAAGGGTATGTGCACAGTGCACAGAGAAGGGTTTAGGGTTTTAGGAGGGTCACGCACTGAGCCCAATCATTGGTCACCCGATATACCAAGCATGCATAGCTGGAGTAAAAGTAGGAAGACTCTCAGCCATCCCTGAAGCACACATACCATACCAAGGAATTATAGTACCCAATGCACCTCTACGAACCAAATAGTACAAACCATTGCCACTCAGCAGGACGGAACACGATTCCCTTGTAGAAAGAATGAGATGCGAAGAGGTTGAATGAACG